AAGCAATTCTCGTGCTTCAGCGTTCCAAGTAGCTGAGACTACAAGGCGTGCGCCACCACATCCAGCTAATTTTTATATTTTTAGTAGAGACGGGGTTTTGCCATGTTAGCCAAGCTGGTCTCAAACTCCTGACCTCAGGTGATCTGCCTGCCTTGGCCTCACAAAGTGCTGGGATTATAGGCGTGAGCCACCGCCCCCAGCCTCAACAACTTCCTCCTAACATCTCGACGCTGCTCACAAAATGTCATCAATTTTTAACAGCTACTGCCAAATTTAAAGTGCCTCAGTGTTTTTGTTTTTGTTTTTGTTTGCGACGGAGTTTCGCTCTTGTTGCCTAGGTTGGAGTGCAATGGCGCGATCTCAGCTCACCACAACCTCCGCCTCCCAGGTTCAAGCGGTTCTCCTACCTCAGCCTCCTAAGTAGCTGAGATTACAGGCATGTGCCAGCACACCCAGCTAATTTTGTACTTTTAGTAGAGATAGGGTTTCTCCATGTTGATCAGGCTGGTCTTGAACTCCCAACATCAGGTGATCCGACCGCCTCAGCCTCCCAAAGTACTGGGATTACAGGCGTGAGCCACAGTGCCTGGCCCTCAGTTTTCCTTTTTATCTGATATCAACTTTTATCCTTAACCTAACTACAGTTACTTTACATGCTTTTATTTTCTGCAGTCTGCTATTTTATCACTTGCATGAAAGAATAATTGCATTTGGCTGGGCGTGGTGGCTCACGCCTGTAATCCTAGCACTTTGGGAGGCCAAGGTGGGGGGTGGGGGCGGGGATCACCTGAGGTCAGGAGTTCAAGACCAGCCTGGCCAACATGGCAAAACCCTGTCTCTACTAAAAATACAAAAATTAGCCAGGCGTGGTGGCACATGCTTGTAATCCCAGCTACTTGGGAAGCTGAGGCAGGAGAATCACTTGAACCCAGAAGGCAGAGGCTGCAGTGAGCTGAGATCATGCCATTGCATTCCAGTTGGGCTACAGAGAGAGACTCTGTCTCTAAAAAAAAAAAAAAAGAATTGATGTAGGCTTTGATAAGCTTCCTAACACCCAGCCTTCAATAGGGATTTCTATGCAGTCTAATCACCCATAAAAACTAATTTGATTGGGAGGCCAATGCAGAGAGATCATTTGAGCCCAAGAGTTTGAGACCAGGCTGGGCAACATAGTGGGACCCCCACCTCTACAGAAAATATAAAAATTAGCCAGGCAAGGTCATGCATGCCTGTACTCCCAGCTACTCAAGAAGCTGAGGTGAAAGGATTGCTTGAGGCTGAGAGGTCAAGGCTACAGTGAGCTATGATCATGCCACTATACTTACTCTAGCGTGGGTGACAAAGAGAGAGACTGTCTCAAAAAAAAAAAATTAAAAATTAAAAAAAATCTTAAAAAAACTAATTCAAAGTAATTTAGATAGTATACTCAAGTTATTTTACCACTAAGATCCAGGAGGGTGGCTAGGCGCGGTGGCTCACGCCTATAATACCAGCACTTTGAGAGGCAGAAGCAGGCAGATCACAAGGTCAGGAGTTCGAGACCAGCCTGACCAACATGGTGAAACCGTCTCTACTAAAAATACAAAAACTAGTCAGGCATGGTGGCACGCACCTGTAATCCCAGCTGCTCAGGAGGCTGAGGCAGGAGAATCACTTGAACCCGGGAAGCAGAGGTTGCAGTAAGCTGAGATAGCGCCACCACACTCCAGCCTGGGTGTGACAGAGCAAGACTCTGTCTCAAAAACAAAACAACAACAAAAAAGATCCAGGAGGGTAAATAAATTGGCACAATTCTGTAATTTCTAGGTAAATAACTCAGAACATACAGCTCCAGACACTTCAGAATTAGTACAATATTAGACTAAGCAGAAAACGGATACAGATAATTTTACAGTCACTGAATTCTAACCCCTGAATAAAGTTTGTTCAAATAATTGTATTTCCTGAATATGGTGACACTGAGCTCAGATAGGTCTCCAAAAGGCCAACCAAGCAGCAAAAGTCACAATATCCTAGTGTTAAATCCATTACCCATTCCCAGGCCAGGCGCAGTGGCTCATGCCTATAATCCCAGCACTTTGGGACGCCAAGATGAGCGGATCACTTGAGGTCAGGAGTTCAAGACCAGCCTGGCCAACATGGAGAAACTCCATCTCTACTAAAAACACAAAAATTAGCCAGGTATGGTGGCGTACCTATAGTCCCAGCTACTTGGGAGGATGAGGCAGGACAATAGCTTCAACCCAGGAGGTGGAGGTTGCAGTGAGCCTAGATTGCGCCACTGCACTCCAGCCTGGGCGACAGAGCAAGACTCCATCTCCAATCAATCAATCAATCAATCAGGTCATTCCCCATTCCCAGCAGGTGGTGGCTCACCAGTAGTTAGTTGTCTAGATACCCTGTGGCCCAAACTAGTCACTTCTTTACATATGAGGACAAAGCACTCAGAGCAATAAATGGCCTGCAGAAGATCAAACAATACCAATGAAGAACTGTCACATTTTCTCCTAAAGGAAATGTTTGCAAAACCCAAAAAAAGCAAGTAATAGCCCTCCAGCCTCAAAATTATGAACATATGAATAAGCAACACATTCTCATAACAAAGTGTTGCCTTTAGCAACCTGGAAATACAAAAGCGGAGATACTGCTTCAGCCAGGATCAGATGCAGCCACGAAGTCAGAACTCTCATCACATCACTAGCTCCACGGTGAATTATTTCCTGTTATTTCATAAGCAAAGGTTATTCATTTGTTCACTCAACAAACATTTGCCAAGTAGCTACCCTGTGCCAGAAATGGTCAGGTGCTGGGATATAAACAAGGCAAGCTCCTGCCTTCAATTAGGTAATAAACTAGGTATGGGAAACACACAAAAAAATATCAAAACATACCAAAACATGGTAAAAAGGAATTTGAGGAAAAAAAATAAAAATAAATATAATTAAAAAAAAAAATACCAAACCTTAGCAGGACAGAATGATTATAAAAGCTTGCACAGACTGCAATGTCATACAGAGGAGAGGCATTCTGCTGAACCTGGAGGGAATCAAGGAAGGCTTTTATTAAGAGAAGGTGGTGCCTGAACTCCTGGCTCAAGCCTTAGAGTCAGCCAAGCTGTAGAATGGAGAGCAAAATATCACAGAAGGAATAGCCTGAGAATGCTGGGACCTTCAAGGAGTTCACTATAACTGAGCCTCACATGCCTGAGTAATTGTGGCAGGGGAGAAAGGAAGATAAAGAAGTGGCCAGGTGATAAAGGTCCTTATGAGATGCTGAAGCAGACACAGGCCAGGGTCTAGATGTTCAAAACCAGAGGTATATTATTTACTCTTATCTGGAATTAAAGACCACCAGAATGGAGGGGGAATTTGACTACAGCAAGACTGCAAGAAATTAGAGACCAGTTATTTTTTTTTTTTTTTTTTTTTTTTTGAGACAGAGTCTCGCTCTGTCGCCCAGGCTGGAGTGCAGTGGCGCAATCTGGGCTCACTGCAAGCTCCGCCTCCCGGGTTCACGCCATTCTCCTGCCTCAGCCTCCCGAGTAGCTGGGACTACAGGCGACCGCCACCTTGCCCGGCTAGTTTTTTGTATTCTTTTTAGTAGAGACGGGGTTTCACCGTGTTAGCCAGGATGGTCTCTATCTCCTGACCTCGTGATTCGCCCGTCTCGGCCTCCCAAAGTGCTAGGATTACAGGCTTGAGCCACTGCGCCTGGCCCGGTTATTTCAAATCACTTCTGGCCTCTACTTATTTTTCTCTTAAATATTAGTGGGACTTTTTCCTCTCTTATTGGGAAAAAATAAAACTGAAAATTCTATAACTAAGTCTGTGAGCCGTCTGTTCATCAAAAACATGCCTGAACAGAGTGCTAGATTCTACCAAAGTAGCCCCAATTAAAGAAGATGACAAATCTCTCCTGCATCTGGAGAATTCCTGGCAAAAACACCAAAGCCAGGTCTCTGGTGCCAGCAGAAGAAAGCTAGAAAAATGTCCTGATCGGGGCGATACAGAACACAATGCTGCCTGGTATACCGTAGTGTTCTATCAATGGGAATGCCCACGGTTCCCAAAGAACATGCCAAACGGTTACCTCCTGGTTTCTCCATACGAACTGTCAGGAAAAAAACCTTCTACTGCCAGGAATGACCTTGGACTTTATAGTGTGGACTCCTGCCTACCAGCACTGAATAAAGACAATCTCAAAATTCCCTCACCTGTCCGGAGTGCCAACAGGTACAGACAGCTGCCTTCCTCACCAGACAAGGAAACCGGGCACTTGAACCCTGCACAGCACCACAGCACCCAGCCACATTCCTACTATTAATACTACTGAGATTAGAGGTCCTATATAATAATACACATTAACTACTACTGACAGCCAGCACTGACCACCCCCAAAGCTTGAGGCCCTCATCTCCAGTCCTCAATGCAATCTGCAAAGAAGGCTGTATTAGGCCTATGTTACAGATGGAAAAACAAAACAAAACCAAAGCTCAGGGAGGTTAACAGTTTATCCAGGGTTAAAAATTGAGCAATAAAAATTGCGAAGACTCCAAAAACCAAGCTCTTCCCATTGTACCAGACATTTCTTCTCTCAGGCTTTTTCTAAAGAAATAGAAACACTCTAAGCCTTATTTCCAAGAGTTTCTGAAGTTGATCCATTTAACTAAGAGGTGGCCAAAAACATTTATTTAAGCAATCACCTTGCCTTCAAGGCAACAAATAAACAAGTTTTTATTTTCTTTGATCAAGTGAATAGTCCAGATAGAAAATGAGATATTTTGAAGAATTCACTTATTATCTAAATACCTTGATTTTATATTTCTTCATTTATTTTTGCCCAAGATACATACACAGAGAGATAGAGAAGACAGCAAAAGGCAGAATTTCATTTTACTAGATCAGAATGAAGAGTAACAAAGCAAAAACATTTAGATTTATGTTATATTTTATGCAGTAAAAATGAAGAGACAAGTGACTTTCAAACAGACTGAGCCTTACCTCAATCTTACTCCTCCTGTTCCAAGGGACAGCACTCCAGGTGATCAGCAGACACTCCCAGCCTACATACAGTGAACCAGACACAGGGGATAAGCAACGCCTTCATGCTCCCAAAACCACAGTAGGAAGGAGTGTGATGGCTTCCTAGGGAATCTGAACACATATAGTATTTGTAAATCACTGCTCATTGAGACATACACCAAAACAAAATGTTTTACCTGTGGTTTGTCTACAGGAGTACTTAAAATTAACAGGTGTATAAAATAATACAAAAATAATCCCATATCAACATGAACTCACAGTGATAGCTAAACTTTTTCCATGAAGATGTTAAGATAATTAACTGTCACCAGTCAAAATTAATACATTATAAAAACTTTATTCAATGGCTTTACTGATTACAAGCTTGATATACCTGAATCACTTCTTTCTTCAAAGACCTATAACCACATCTAAACCAGGAACTACCACTAATAAAATGTTAAAAATACCATCAGCATTTTGGAGGTGCCCAAAGCAGTACCTGGCATAATGCAGTAAATGTTGGTTTATGAAACAATGAATGGAGAGAGAGAAAGAATACCACTTTTTGTGTGTGTGTGAGTCGGAGTCTCGCTGTGTCGCCCAGGCTAGAGTGTAGTGGCACAATCTGGGCTCATTGTTACCTCTGCCTCCCAGGTTCAAGTGATTCTTGTGCCTCAGCCTCCAGAGTAGCTGGGATTACAGGCACATGCCACCACACCCAGCTAATTTCTGTATTTTTAGTAGAGACAGGATTCTGCCATGCAGGCTCGAACTCCTGACCTCATGCGATCCACCTGTCTCGGACTCCCAAAGTGGTGGGATTACAGGCGTTAGCCACCACACCCAGCCAAGAGAGAAAGAATACCATTGAAGAAAAATAATTATTTAAAGCTTAAGAAAAAAGATAATGTTTACAATAATGAGAACTCTCAGTACAACAAAAACAGAATTACCTAACATTGCACTTGAAAGTTTATACTAGACTCCAGTTAGGCTATACTTCCTACCACTCTAAACTCAGAAGGTACAATGATTCTGATACTGTTTCTGTACATGTTGGGTTCCCTTTATACCTCACCTACAACCAACACACCAACTTTTGCCTGAATAATACATACAGAGCTCTGGCCCACAGCTGCAGGCCTCAGAGTTGGAGTTTGCGTACTGTCTTTCAATGATACAGATTGTCACAGGGAGACAGTGTACAGGCCAAATTCACTGAAGATGGATAATACTTCTAGTGAAGACAATGTCCTGTGAGAGTAAACAAGGATGCTGAAATGAGAGTCACTAAGATTTAACAGATTCAACAAACTCACTTCATGGCAGTAAGAGAAGATGAAATTTCATGGATTTAAGCATGGAAAGACCATTTAACAACATAAATGTTAAGGTTTTCCTATCTTTCTTTAGTGTTGCACACATTAAACAATGGCACACAAATTAGTGAAAAGAAGCTTTTAAATTAATTTAGATTTATAAGAATTGGACTAAAAACGCCTGGAACTTACATGTATGATGAAGTCTAAGTTTGTCTATCATTTCAAACAATAGCCACAGTGCTGAAAAGAAAGTATGAGTCACAATTCAAAAACAACGGAGGAAAGAAAAAAATGAACAAAGAAAAGCTGTGGATCCAAATACCACAAAGAAATTCCTTACTTAAAATGTTGTCAAATGACAACCACCACTCTGACTTGGAGTAAGAAAGAAAGGTCCACACTGTCCTCTACATGGGAACAAACTCATCCAGCCCCACATAACCCTTCCAGTTGCATACACCTCAATGTTCAGCCACCAATATAGTCAGCCACAATCCCTAGCAAGCAACAGGAATCCTAACAGATAATGAGTCACCCACTCCCACGCAGTAAGAGGTCATTCTCCATCAGGAAGCCCACTCTGCAAAGTTTCCTTGTTCATCTCCCAGGCTGCCACCACCATGACCCAAATAAAGCTGATTCTCCAATCTCAGTAGCCTATCAACCCTCGTCTACACTCCCCAAACCACAACTCCCACCAGCCTCACCCTAACGACAAGACAGCTAGCACTACTCACCGTGTGTCACTACTCACTCTTCTGATAAGTTCCTTGCCTGAGAACCACTCCTCGTCAGGGTGCATCAAGGCCCCGGAGGATCCAGTTCTCTGCTTAACTCTCCTGTGCCCAGCTGAGCTCCTGCCTTTCCAGGAACTAATCACCAGTTACCTCAGACAAGCTAAACTCTCAATGCCTCTTCTGCCCCAGCCCGACCGCAGTCTGCCAAATTCCCAGACCTCAGGAGAGGGTGGCCAGGAAACGCATTCAGATGCGCCTTAGGGATTAGACACATAGAGGCCCCTAAAATTCCAAATACTTCCCCTACCCCACACCGCGCTCTGGTCATCCTCCGGGGCGCCAGCATCCAGCGCCAAAAGCGCAGGGCGACCACAGTTAGGTCTCCGTGTCCCTATGACTCCCTTCCCCGGCTACGAAATCCTCAAATATCAAGCCTCTGAGGCCCCGGGTCGAGGCCCAAGACCCCCGCCAAACCTCCGGTCACTGGAGTTTCCCGGGTGGGACCCCGTGTCCCGAAGGCCCGGGGTGCTGGGTCCATCTAGCTGCCCCGACCCACTGCATGCCAGGGGCCCAGGCCGCGTCTCCAGTCGGTCCCCATTGTTGCGGGACCCGGCGGCCCCGACCGGGAGCGAGGAACCGGCACCGGCTCTCACCTCCTGCGCCGCGGCTCCGGGCCGCGCCGGACCGCGCAGGGCCGAGGGACCTCACGTTCCGCTGCGCCCGCCTAGGCAAAGTCTGCGGCGGCGGAGGCGGAGGCGGCGGCTGAGGCGGGAAGCAGCCGGCCAGGCCCGGGCGCAGCGGGCTGGCTCTGGCCGAGCGTCGGTCTCCACCGGCGGCGGCGCTCGCCAGCCTCCGCTCGCGGTCCGCGCCAGAAAGCGTCCCCCTCCCGGCCCGCGCGCCCGACCGCACGGACGGGAACACGCGCCGCGGAGAGGAAAGTTCCGCTGAGAGCCGACTGAAGGCAGTTCCCCGGCGCCGGGTGTACGGCGATTCCTGCCTGGATGGGACCGTTTCTGGAGTGAATGCCGTACGGAAATCCCAAGCCAGAAGCTGCCTGAGAATGGTTCTAGGGGTGGGTCCAACGGAATGGTTTTGCACTCGCCAGCCATTTAGCGCCTCAATTGAGCCGCAGTTTCTCCTCATTTCTCATTGGGAATAATCTAGGCGGCTTGTTAGAATTGAATGAAGTGATACGAATACCTCGCTCAGAGATAGGGAGCTCTACACTGGGGTTACGATCGTTACTGATCCTGTCAATGCTGCTGCTACTATTGCCTCCAACGTAGGTTGTGCTCAGCCCTCAAGGGCCCTTGAAATTATGCGCACCATGTAACTCTTCCTTTTTCACCCTCGGTCCCCACCTAGCATCCTGTTTCCTGTTAAGCTGTCTTCAGAATTCCCTGGAAGAGAAGCAGAAGCAAAACGGGGCTTTCTTGATTGTTGACACTCAAGTGGAGGTTAAGGATGCAGGTTCTCCTTCCTCAAGTTGGGAATTACTGCCATGTGGGCTCCAGTTACTGATGGGACTATAACAGCTCTCTCCGCTACAGCCTCAGGTTCTCTTCTCCTCTTCCCAAGACGTGAATGTTAACAAATTGATTTTTTTTTTTTTTTTTTTTTTGAGACGGAGTTTCGCTCTTGTCGCCCAGGCTGGAGTGCAGTGGTGGGATCTTGGCTCACTGCAACCTCCGCCTCCCGAGTTCAAGCGATTCCCCTGCCTCAGACTCTCGAGTAGCTGGGATTACAGGCGCCCGCCACCAAGCCCGGCTAATTTTTTGTATTTTTAGTAGAGACGGGGTTTCGCCATGTTGAGCAGGCTGGTCTCGAACTCCTGACCTCAGGTGATCCGGCCCACCTCGGCCTCCCAACGTGCTGGGCCACCAGGCGTGAGCCACCGCGTCCGGCCCACAAAATGGTGTTTTAAATTATGAAAGTGGATCTTTCTTTGAAGATTTTGTATTTTATTCATGAAATCAAGAGGATAACAATTCCTTTCTTGTCCCCACTTCCCTTTTCTTCTAGGCCTTCACACCTCTAAGACACCAGATGCAGTTATTTTTGGAGCTAACTATCGATGGGAATTAGGTCTGCAGAAGGTGTTCCAAAAAAAAATCCTAGATTTCAGGTGTTCTCAAATTTCCCATTTTTACATATCCCCTTGGCTTCTGAGACACATATATGCCTGATTTTCCATGTATATTATTTTCTGGAGGTAATGAAAGGGTTCTGCCTGTCAAAAGGCACTTTGCTATCTGATATGGATCTGTGTCCCCACCCAAATCTCATGTTGAATTGTAATCCCCAATGTTAGAGGTGGGGTCTGGTGGGAAGTAATGGGATCATGGGGGTAGATCCTTCATGAATGGCTTAACACCGTGCCTTTGGTTCTCTTCTGGTGATGGTGAGTGAGTTCTCACAAGATGTGGTTGCTTAAAAGTGTATGGTGCCGACTAGGCCTAGTGGCTCACACCTGTAATCCCAGCACTTTGGGAGGCCGAGGCAAGTAGATCACCTGAAGTTAGGAGTTTGAGACCAGCCTGGCCAACATGGCAAAACCCTGTCTCTACTAAAAATACAAAAATTAGCCAGGCATAATGGTGCGTGCCTGTAATCCCAGCTACTCAGGAGGCTGAGGCAGGAGAATCACTTGAACCCAGGAGGTGGAGGTTGCAGTGAGCCAAGATTGTGCCACTGCACACCAGCCTGGGCAACAGGGAGATCGTCTTTAAAAAAGAAAAAAAAAAAGTGTATGGCACCTCCCCCCACTTCTCTTTTCCTCCTACTCCAGCCTTGTGAGGTGCTCGCTCCCCCTTTGCCTTCCTCCATGAATGTAAGTTTTCTGAGTCCTCCCCTGAAGTCTAGCAGATGCCAGCATCATGCTTTCTGTACAGCCATGAGCCAATTAAACCTCTTCTTTATAAATTACCCAGTGCCAGGCATTTCTTTATAGCAGTGTGAGAATAGACTAATAGAGTGTCCCTTCTGGAAACAGCAGGCTCATGGGTTAGAAAACAGCACAGTCAAAGCCTCTGGAAGATCCTCTGCTCCCTCAGGTGAGAGGAACTTCATCCTAGGTTCTTCAGAGGCAAAGGATGCCTCAAAAGCTGGTTCCAGCCAAGTGTAGTGGCACATTTCTGTAGTCCCAGCTTCTCAGAAGGCTGAGGCAGGAGGCTCACTTGAGCTCAGGAATTCAAGTTCAGCTTGGGCAATATAGCAAGACACTGCCTCTTAAAAAAATAAATAAAAATTTTAAAAGGCTAGTTAACTTCTCTCAAGCAGCCTGAGGTCAGATCAGCATTCCAATCCCTCCCAGCTTCACGTCTTGCATTTTATCCATTTGGCCTCTTAGCTGGGACTCTCTGGGTGACACAGAGAGCAGATTTGGCCTCAAGAATTGCAACAGGTTCACATGAGAGCCCCAGAGACTACCAAAGAGAGAAGAAAGAAACCAGTCAGGTTGGTCAGATTAAAAAAAAACACTCCTATTGTTAATCCCCCCACCTCCATCCTCCGACCCCCAATTAAAAGACTTAAGGCACAACCACCAAAACATAGGCACTTACATTTCTCATATCACTAAAGTTGGAGCCACAAAGGCCAGAGCTAGCTCCCCTGGTGATGGAAGCCTCTTCCATTCCCTCCTCCCAGGATGCCATTGCCCTTCTGTAACATCTGTTTCCTCACCCTACTAGAGCTTCCCTGACTACTTGGATGATGTCACACCCTCACAACAACCTCTGAGATTCATGGTACCCCAAAATTCACCTGTAGAAAGATGGGTTCTATTAGGGGGAAGTCCCAAGAGTGATTTATGCATATACCTGCTTATTGTTGGCTATACCTTTAAATGAGTTTAAAAGATCTGGGACTGCCCTTCTGGGATTAGGCAAAATTCTCCATGGACTTGTTGATTAATCAGAAACCAGAACAAGGCTGTCTTCTTCACCATGAAAACACAAATGGAAAAACACCCTCTTCATTTTTTTTTTTTTGAGATGGAGTCTTGCTCTGTTACCCAGGCTGGAGTGCAGTGTCACGATCTCGGCTCACTGCATCCTCCGCCTCCCAGGTTCAAGCCACCCTCTTCATTTTATCTGTTTCACCTCCTCCTTATTCCATGAGAGTTAGCTTAATCCTGCATCCACCAGCCACACTTAATGGCCCTCCCTCACTTCTGAATGCCAAAGCCATGATCATTCTGAACCAGATTCCAAGATGACAAAGAGTTGTATTGCTTTCTTCAACAGTTATCCCATTCTTGGGATTTTTTTTTACCTTTCTGCTTGTATAACACTCATCACCCAGATTATAATGTCCTAGGAGATTTTTTAAAAATTGACCCCAGTTTCTAATGACAGCCTAGTATAATTGCTACACCATAAAATTCCCCATTCAGCAACTATTTACTGGGTACCAATATGTACCAGGCACTGGCCAGGCGCGGTGGCCCATGCCTGTAATCCCAGCACTTTGGGAGGCTGCAGTGGGTGCATCACGAGGTCAGGAGATCGAGGCCATCCTGGCTAACATGGTGAAACCCCATCTCTACTAAAAATACAAAAATTAGCTGGGGGTGGTGGCGGGCACCTGTAGTCCCACCTACTCGGGAGGCTGAGGCAGGAGAATGGTGTGAACCCGGGAGGCAGGGCTTGCAGTGAACTGAGATCATGCCACTGCACTCCAGCCTGGGCGACAGTGTGAGACTCCATCTCAAAAAAAAAAAAAAAAAAAAAGTACGTACCAGGCACTGTACCCAATGCTGGGGAATAGTAATAAGACATGACAGGCATGACCATAAGCATTTTAGTTATTAACTCATTTAATCCTCACATCAACATTCCACTTCAAAGGTGGAAAAATAAGCTGAGAAGTAAGAAGAGGGATGGGGTTTGAGTGCAGACCATCTAGGTCCAGAGCCCATGCTTATAACCATCCCCATCATGAATGAAGAAGTATGTTCAGAATTGAGCCTGGAAGAGTGTGGTCTGTAAAGTGTGACTAATAGAAACCTATCCTGTATGGATGTTCATTCAGATGAACAGATGTTTATTGTTCCCCAGTTGTATTTCAGATGCTGATATGCCCTGGGGAACACAGCACTAAACAGGAGGGAACAGGTATCTGCCCTCAAGTAGCTTACCTTCTAAACAGGGGAGAAAGACAGTACAAAATAATTGCAAATTCTAATAAGTGCTGAAAACACAAAACAGAGACCAGTATGGGAGAGAGGCTGTTGGAAGAGAGAAGGCATTGGGTAAGACCAACCCAATGAGGTGACCTGTGAGCTGAATCCTGAATGCCAAGAATGCTAGAGAGAACCACGTAAAGTCTCGGGGAAGAAGAATTCTAGGCAGAGGGACCAGAACTTGGGGGCAGCATGCTGTGTAGGTGTAGTGAGAAGCCCCAGAAAACTGCTCTTTGAAAGATTCTCCCCAGGGCCGGAAAGCTTGAAGGAATGAGTAACTCCTCCCTTCTCAGGACCGGTCCCAAGGCAAAAGGCCACTTGCGCCAGCAGTATCTGTCAGCAAGATAGCAGAAGCAGGAAGAGAGCCGGCCAGAAGACATCTACCCTGGCCGGAAGACACCTACCCAGGCCAGAAGACACCTACCCTGGCTGGAAGACACGTACCCCCGAAGAT